TAGTTCGGTCTACCTGGACCATTTCTAGAAGAATGCAGAGCTAGGGGACAAGCCCCATGCTTGATGGAGGCGCGTGGTGTGCGTGCGATGGTGACGAAAGCTGTTTTGAATGGCCGATTACTTCATGTTTCAACACTTGCCAAAATCGATCCAAATTAACATCAATAATCAGCTAAAATGGTGTAAAACAATTAAAAATATTAACTGCTTACCCTTAACGTCGAACGACGAATGCAACGACGGTGAGCGATGAACCTGACTGAGTTTTGGTCAGAATTCCACGAAGAGTTCAACGACTATGACTGTGAGTTCAACGGCGATGGTTGTGAGCTCAACGGATGGACAATTTGACCGGAATCGTGAGAACAGTAAATGTGAGTTTTTCCGATGAACCTTCGTTCGACGATTCACGACAATGATCTCTCCCAACGGTTAATAATTTCTGCATTCATCCCAATCTTGGAAGTTACCCCACAAGTAACGTGAGAGATATTCGTTCGAAAAATTTTAACCGAATTTCTGAAGTAAATTTGAGTTTTGTTATTCCTCCAAACGTTCCGTGATGATAAGATCGTAACTGACCTTTATAAGTAAAGTTTTGAGATTAAAATCTACAACCCAAGTAGATTGGAGAACAAGGTATTCGGTCCAAACTTAGACAAGGTGTTTTGTTCCAAAACGTTTTGCATTGATGTACTGAAAGGAAGAATCTTTGGAATCATGCTTGTTCTTATTTTACGAGTTTGAAACCCAATAAGTTATGAGCTTTGTACCCCAATGATTTGACATATATGAGATTAAAGGAAAATGTTTGTATACTTGGTAAAAGTGTAAATCTCGAGATTATTTTGTTAGGTCTGAAAGAAAACAATTATGTCTACATGTTGCACTGAAGTTAAGCAAGTATTATTATGATTAAGGATTTGTATTTAAGGTATATTTGGTTTAAAAGGAGAATTTTGTTCAGATTTTGGAATTATGACTCAATCTGTTCAAAAAGTTAATCATTTCTGCATTCATCCCAATCTTAGAAGTTACCCCACAAGTAACGTGAGAGATATTCGTTCGAAAAATGTTTGTGGTCGAGATTAGCGTTAAAGGATTCGAATGATCTCTCCCTAGTTTACTCCCAACGACAATGAGTTTTGGTTCTTGGTGGCCTAGGTTGGGGTCGTGAGACAGTGGCGATGCCATTGAAGGTGGCAGTGTACCTCTCGGCTGGCTATTTAACGGTAGCCGGCGAGGGGAATAATGGTGAAACATGATGATTTCCAAGCACGATTTTGAACTCTCAACTGGGAATAAAATTATTGAGGTGATATAATTTGATCCATATCTAATAAAAGTGAATTTTTAATCTTTACTGACAAGAGATGGATAATTTCAGGGTTAGGTCTCTTAATTATCGTCAAGCTTGTAAAACAACCAACATACATCGAAATCAAGCATTTTAGTCCTCAACTTTTCCCTTGTTACGACTTTAATTCAATACTTTAAATTAATAAAATTTAGTCCCTAAATTAAGGTATGACAATTATCGTCCCTTTAAAATAATTTCGTCCTCGAAATTCACCCAAGTCACATAAACTTAGAAATGAAATTTTCCTCAATTCTTCAATATCTCCATGTAGCTTTTACAGGATTACGATTCCTCCATTGAAACTTAACCAACAAAATAAACCTTAACCAACAGAATACGTTTACTCGTCAGAACTCTTCTTCATCATAATTCCAAAATCTGAACAAAATTCTCCTTGTAAACCAAATATACCTTAAATACAAATCCTTAATCATAATAATACTTGCTTAACTTCAGTGCAACATGTAGACATAATTGTTTTCTTTCAGACCTAACAAAATCATCTCGAGATTTACACTTTTACCAAGTATACAAACATTTTCCTTTAATCTCATATATGTCAAATCATTGGGGTACAAAGCTCATAACTTATTGGGTTTCAAACTCGTAAAATAAGAACAAGCATGATTCCAAAGATTCTTCCTTTCAGTACATCAATGCAAAACGTTTTTGGACAAAACACCTTGTCTAAGTTTGGACCGAATACCTTGTTCTCCAATCTACTTGGGTTGTAGATTTTAATCTCAAAACTTTACTTATAAAGGTTGGTTACGATCTTATCATCACGAAACGTTTGGAGGAATAACAAAACTCAAATTCACTTCAGAAGTTAGGTCAAAATTTTTCGAACGAATATCTCTCACGTTACTTGTGGGGTAATTTCCAAGATTGGGATGAATGCAGAAATTATTAACTTTTTGAACAGATTGAGTCATAACAGATAAGATACTTTGGTATACTTATTACAAAATGATTTCTTGACATCAGAATTTGGACTCAAAGAGTACAATCATAATTTAGGGGCATGTACAGGCCAGACATCTTATGAGAGTTGATCGGTCGATCTACCTAGAAGACTTGACTCAACCTAAGCTCTGATACCATTAAATGTAGCACCCTCATACCAATACGGGTAACCCGATCTGATCGAAATATCATATTAGGGCCACCAGAGCAACCCACAATAAAAATCCCAAAAAATTAAAATTTCTGTTAAAGCGCATAAAGTCATAGAACAATTTATGATTAAAATACAAGTTCAAAAAATCATTCATGTATTACAGATAGAATTAAAATCATACAAATTCATACTTAGTATAAAAAAATCAAATGTGACATACATGTCTCCTAATTACATTGTACCGTACTCTTCAACCCAAGCCAAAGAAACTCCCATTACAGATGTCGATATATGTATTGGATCAATTCTTTTAACCTTAAATGAAGAGTAAGAGAGTGAGATTTGGGAAGCTCAGTAATACAGAACTACCAAGTGATGCTGAATGACATGCAAATAAATGGAAAAGAATAAATTTTCCATATTGATTCAAACGTCTATAGGCTTTCAGGATAAGCTGAGGTTCCACTGATATTTCTTCGAGTAAAAAACATGAAAATTTCAGTTAAGAGGAAAGAATTAGATGACCAGGTTCAGGAGATCAGAATAGGATGTCTAGTGTGTTCCAACAAAATAGAGTAATGCATATAAATACTTTAAAAATGTTAGTAGTTTAAAACATAATTTAAACCACAATAATACCCTCCAACTGAACACCTTAATGCAGTTTTCCTCAAAACTACATCCATAAGGACTTACCCTAAGCACACAGCAAACGAGCCACCCTAAGGGAATACCTTAAGGCGTATGAGCATACCCAAGGGTCTCCTTAAGTCCGTAAGGAATTACTAGCTTGATCAGAGCTGAATTTTCATACTCCAGAATCCTACCCATACAGTATTCACTAGAAATCAGATTGAGTAGTAACTTTAATATAAAAATCATGTTCCAATAGAATATCGTAAGAGTGACAATGAAGTTATTTATATCACATAATTTCCCTCCACCCATACATCATATGTAGTCTCATGATTTACCCAAGAGAATGCCTTGAGGCCTTAAAGCCTACCCAAGGTCACCTTAGATCCGTAAGGAATTACCAACTTGATCAGAGCTGAACATCCATACTCCAACCTACCCAGATAATGTCCCAATAAAACAATTCAAGTAGTAATTAGTAATCTCATGATCCATACATAAGGAATAATTACATTTTCCAGTGAAAATAGAAAATCAGTGTAACACCCCAACCCGTACTCGACCCGAATACGAGTATGAGATGTCACATTGATCTTTTAAAACACTTTTGCTTACAAAATAACAAAACATTTGAACTAATATTAAGAAAATATGATAATATATTATTGAATTATGTTTGTTATAACCAATTTAAGAAAAATATACATTTTATGAACGGTAAAATACGGTATGAACAGTAAAATATGTATGAACAGTAATGAACAGTACCATGAACAGTACCTGCTATAGTACCAAATGTTAAATTTTCTAGATTGCAAACAGGGAACCGATTCCCCTACTACAGTACTTCCGTAAAACGTACATAAAACTCGTAAAAATTTAACCGTTCATTACTATACATTTACATTTACATAAATACGTTCAAAACATTAGAAAAGTTGATCAGGGCATTCATAACTAACAACTTATTACATGCCAACACACTTTAGACAACAAAATACATACTTTGTTGTTTACTTCTGATCTGATCTTCTAATAATGGTGTTGTCTTTGCCACTTCTATTTATGCTCTTCTTGTTTCTTGGTACCTACGAGTAAATCACTTACACGTTAAGTCATAGACTTAGTGAGGCATAATTAAATATATAACAATGAATTCATGAAACATACACTCTTACCGTTCAATCGTAACATTATAACCTGCATGTATCCATTACACTACAACATATATGATCATGTCATGCATATATGAAATTTATCGTCTTATGCAAGTCTCACTTCACTTTATCTTTGTATTGCCCATGTACATTATTGAGAACAGAAGGTACGCGAGTACACTGAGGTTGTGCACGAATGCTGTTACCACAAATCGAATAAATTTCCACTAGGGGCACTGAATATTTGTCCCGAAGGACCACTATATCTCGAAAGACCACTGTATATGTCCCAAAGGACCACTATGTCCCGAAGGACCACTGTATATCCCTCGACTCTTGGCATGCCAATTATACCTACAACTCTCATATTAAATAACATGGACTTAAAAATGAACACATTTCTCATTTTCATATATTTTTCATCACTTTTCATATAAACACATATTTCACTTCACATGTATACATATGATCATTTCTATTATTTCACATACATGGATTAATTCTCTGACAATTGCATTCTTTCATATAATATAATATTAAAGCATAATGAATTATGCATGAAATTACTGTATCCAATATATATATCTATATATGGATGCATGTACATGACTATGAAATCATAAATTCAACTATAAGAGATAGACTTATTGCAAGTCTTATCTCCATACAATTCTATCTAGTATGTGCACTCACCTTAGCCTTGCTGGATTTGAATCAATTCTAGAACTTATCTCTTTATCAATCGTTTCTAATCCCTCGATCGTTCTTACTTGTCACTTGTTCCGGAACTCGTTTAGGCTCGATATCTACATAAACATAATTTCCAAGACAATTATTAAAAGCCTAAACCTTATAAATTGATACTAATAGCTTAAACGAATTTAATGAACCAAACTTCAACTTTTCCTTTAGGGGGCATCGATACCCTCCCCATAGGGAATCGGTTCCCCCTGCTTAATCTGTAAAAACCCAGAATTTACTATTCAAACCCAAAAATCATCAACTCTTAACTAAATTTTCTCATACAAAGTTCCTTTCATACCACCAAACTTAACTACAACCATTTTAACTAACTTCTATCATTTCAACACTTTAAAATCTCCCATGCTTCATTCAAATTCTCAAAGCTAAAAATCATACCCAAATTTTTCTTTTTATCCAAACTTAATTCTAACACTTATAACTTCTTATTCATTCCTATGACAAGTCAAATTCAACTTATAAATTCACTTATTAACTCTTTTTCAAAAATTCACTTTGAAACCCATTCTCTTTTATCTTACATAACTTCTTCATCTTTTGATTATAAGACAACTTAAGCTTTCCTTAAGCTTAAGTATCACCTAAGGATCAAAACCCACTATTGAATTTTAATAATTAACTAAAAAAAATAAACTTACCTTGGCTTGGGTACTCCACGGTGGAGAAGAAGAAGATGAGAGAATTGCCTTAGAACTTGTTTCCTCCCTATGTATCCCACGTGTTTCTCTTATCTTATAAGGGAAATAAAAATCTTTCAGGTCAAATGACCATTTTCCCTTTAATTCATTTCATATTTACTAACAATCAGTTTTTTAACTATTCAATTATTCTACCTTAATCACCAAACTCTGACTTTTTACAATTTAGTCAATAACCCGTTGTTTGGGATGTTACAATTAGAGAACACATATTATGTAGCCATAGTTCATTAACAGTAAATCAAAAATCAGCAAATCCGTAATTTTGGAAAATCAGATTTTAAAATAGGTAAAATAATTACATGTCACATAGGGAACACACTAGATGATCCAGATATTCTTCGGAGGTAATTGGTATTTATCAGGTAGAGAACCATGAAACTTTTGTAATTTAATAGGATTTCAAAATCAAGATCCCTATAAAAATAGGGTTTGATAACTAACAGATTTATCAGTCATGCATGAAGTGATTTATCAACATCATATAGTATTCCGATATTTTGTAGAGGCACTAAGTAACCAGGTATGACAAGAGTGATTTCATTATTCAGGAAATCAGGGACATTTTGGACATTTGGTTCTTGGAGAATTCTTAGTAATTTAATCTAATAAGAGTGAAATGATAACTTATGGTATTTAAGATTCATTTCAATTTATCAGGATATCGAGTCAACTCAAACTGAACAAATCCCATCACTATGATACCTGTCAATCAATCAAAGCGATGCACTTCAAGGATATTCACACTTTAATACTGGCATCACTAATCGAATTGATCATCTTTAGAATCATCATTGAATGAACCTTAGGGAGACGAACAAGTATTCAAATGGTATTTATTTTCATTTATGTATATCAAGAAATGTCGAAGTGCTTGATTCGTGGTTCAAAACCTTTATCGACGAACCAACATATAAGTTCATCAGTATTTTCAGGCTTATCCAAGTCATTCACTTAATTTTAGGTCATTAAGGGTACTTAGGTCATTTAATATTCTAGTTTATCTCGATCACTTCGAATTTTCTAATGTAATTCGGTTGTTTCCATAATTCAGATACATACCGTACTTTCATTCAGTTCAACTTGGTCATATAATGTAGTGATTTCGAGAAATTTAGACATGTAAAGTACATTTGGTAATTTAGTCTCTCGGTGTTCACTCAGGAAATAAAAATTCTAGGTCCTTTTGGTATTTGAGGTTGATTTATTCATTTAAGGGCTTGAGGGTATTTAGTCCTTCCAGGGCTTGGAGCTAATTTGGGTCATTTTACACTTCAGGGGCATTTTGGTCATTTCTTTCAATACAATCTTTCTATTTAATTCAATTTTTTGAACAATTCAAACATAAATAATACTCCCAATGTTTTAGTCTTTAGCTATTTGTTGATGAATAAATAATTCTAGGTCTTGTACTTTCTCGGATGTTAAGATCTTATTATCAGCGACTTTTCGAACATATCAAGAATTTAATAGGTGAATCAATAGTTTTTCGGATTAAATATCAATTTTTAGGGTATTTTCACTATTAGGGTCAGTCCGATCCAATTTACCTTATAGGGGTAATTTTGTAATTTCATAACTATATGATTATGCTATTAAACCTTTTAACGAAAATAATTAGAATTTAAAGATTCTGAGGTTGATTGTTTTATCGGTTAATCACTGAACCTGAAATTATTTCTTAACAGTCTTCTAGTGTCCTATACGTGTAATCTAAGTCTTATTCAATTTAATTACTTTTCATCGCATTTGGAACAAGTTTAGAAATTATTAATCACACACATGTAACCAAACTTATTCATATATGCATTAACTAATGCCAGAATATTGCATAAAGCATACATAAGGTAGTAATGTATTACCTTGGTATTTGTGCTCCACTGATCGAATATTTAAACTCCATTTGATCACTCTCGAACTTGAATCCAACGTCCAATAATATCTCATATACATAAAAATATAAATTATATCAGAAACAGGGTTTAATTATGGAAAATTGATCGAATTAGAAGATAAAATACTGAAAAATAGCTTACCGAGTTTGAATTTGGGTAAACATGCTTAGGATTCGGACTCAGGACGTCGAAAAACATAAAATATGACTTTTCAAAAATTTTAACTTTTTGGATCAAAGTCATCGGTCAACTCTGGTCAAAGTCAATTGACGGACCTGGACGAGTTGACTCAACTTGACAGGTTTGGGTTGACTCGGTCGTGTCAAATAGACCCGATTCATACTGGGTTGGGCCGGTTTGGTCCACCTGGATCGTTTCTAGAAGAAACCAGAGTTAAGGGATGAGCCCCATGCGCGGTGGAGGTGCGTGGTACGGGTGCAGCAACGATGAAAGCTGTTCTGAACGACTGATTACTCCCTGTTTCAACACTTGCCAAAATTGATCCAAATCAACATCAATAATAAGCCCAAAACGGTGTAAAACAGTTGAAAAAAATGAACTGACTCACCCTTAACGGCGAATGACGAATACAACAACGGTGAACGATGGACCTTATTGGATTTTTGGTCAGAATTCCACGAAGAGTTCGACAATGATGGCTGTGAGCTCAACGAACAGACGATTTGACCAGAATCGCGAGAACAATAAAGGTGAGTTTTTTCGATGGACCTTCAATCAATGATTCACGATAGACAACGAGACTACTCAACAAGTGGAGGGCAAGGTTGATCAGAACAAAGTGACACTTTTGTTGGTACGAGCGGTGACCCTCGTTGGTGAGTGGTAGCCAAGATTAGCGTTAAAGGATTCAAACGATCTCTCCCCATTTTACTCTCAACGACAGAGAGTTTTGGCGCTTGGTGGCCTAGGTTGGGGTCGCGAGACAGTGGCAGTGCACCCCTTAGTTGGCTAAACAACGGTGGCCGGCGAGGGGAATAGTGGTGAAACATGATTATTTCCTGGCACGGTTTTGAACTCCCAACTGAGAAGAAAATGATTGAGGTGATATAATATGATCCATATATAATAAAAGTGAATTTTTAATTTTTAATTTTTAATGACAATAAATGGATAATTTTAGGGTTAGGTCCCTAAACTATTGTCAAGCTTGCAAAACAACCATCATACATGGAAATCAAGTATTTTAGTCCTCAAATTTTCCCTTGTTACGACTTTAATTCAATACTTTAAATTAATAAAATTTAGTCCCTAAATTAAGGTGAGACATCAAGTCACAGTGCTCGAGTTATTGCTTAAACCACTGTAGATGCAAAACTCCATGTAGAATTTGAAGAGTCCAGTAGCTCCTTTGACTATTCGAGTTCAGTGTGTGTGAGTGGAGACCAACAACCTAGGTCAGACAGGGTATCTCCATAACATACAGAAAGGCAAGTTTATCCGACCTTTTGGGCGCTTGTTAGCCTTAGATGAGAAAGCTTACAAGGTTATAGCATACAGTGAGAATGTCCCTGAAATGTTGACCATGGTTAGTCATACATCCCCGAGTGTTGGAGACTACCTGGTTCTTGGCATTGGAACTGATAGAAAAACTATTTTTATCACCCCAAGTTCCTCTGCCTTGCTGAAGGCCCTAGGAATTTGAGAGTTTTATCTTTCGAATCCAATCTTGGTCCATTGCAAGACATCTGGAAAGCCCTTTTATGCGATAATCCATTGGGTAATAGGGAGCTTGATTATTGATTTTGAACCTGTGAAGCCTTATGAAGTTTCCATGACTACTGCGGGAGCCTTGCAGTCGTACAAGCTAGCAGCAAAGGCAATTACTCGCTTGCAGTCTCTTCCTAATGGGAGCATGGAAAGGCTCTGTGATACGATGGTGCAGGAGGTTTTTGAGCTCACTGGTTATGACAAGGTGATGGCATATAAGTTCCATGACGATGACCATGGAGAAGTGGTTTCTAAGATAACAAAGCCTGGCCTAGAGCCATATCTAGGTTTGCACTATTCAGCCACCAATATCCCTCAGGCTGCTCGTTTTCTGTTTATGAAGAATAGAGTTCGTATGATTGTTGATTGTCAAGCAAAACATGTAAAAGTATACCAAGATGATAAGCTTCCTTCTGACCTAACATTTTGTGGTTCGACCCTAAGGTCTCCACACAACTTCCATTTACAGTATATGGAGAACATGAATTATATTGGTTATGGTTGTTATAGTCAATGACGGAGATGACAAGGGTGATAGCACTGGTTCCCCAGTCACAACAAAAGAGAAAGAGATTGTGGGGTTTGGTAATATGCCACAACACTACTCCTAGGTTTGTTCCATTCCCTCTCAGGTATGCCTGTGAGTTTTTTGCTCAAGTATTTTCCATCCATGTCAATAAGGAGTTAGAGTTGGAAAGTCAAATGATTGAGAAGAATATCCTTCGTACTTAGACCCTTTTATGTGACATGCTTATGCGTGATGCACCCGTGGGTATTGTATCACAGAACCCAAATATAATTGATTTGGTGAAATGTGATGGGGCTGTCTTATTATACAGGGACCAAATATGGAAACTAGAAGTAACTCCAAGCGATTCTCAACTGTATGAGATAGCGTCCTGGCTTTCTGAGTATCATATGGATTCCACAGGTCTGACTACTGATAGATTGTATGATGCCGGGTTCCCAGGGGTTTTGAGACTTGGTGATGTAGTATGTTGGATGGCAGCTATGAGGATAACCCCCAAGGACAAGCTTTTCTGGTTCCGGTAACATACGGCTGCTGAAATTAGATGGGGTGGTGCAAAGCATGAACTTGGTGAGAAAGATGATGATAGGAAGATGCACCCAAAGTCATCATTCGAGGCTTTCCTTGAAGTTGTCAAGACTAGGGAGTTTGCCATTGGAAGGACTGAGAAATGGATGCAATCCATTC